CGGCGTTTCTCTGAGGTAGTGCTTCATTTAGAATATGGTCTGTGGTTTTATATGTCTCACAGCTGCAGTTTTTTAACAGCTGCATGTAAAGGGTGTGTAAGAAGATAAAAGTGATTCTGGAAATGCACTGCATGCCTTTTGTCTCTTGATAGGACATCGGCTTCTAACTGTGTTAAGTATTTTAAAGTATTTGTAAAATAGTAATTTCGAGTGAATCGGCTGGTTAGCACTTTGTTGAATGTTTGATGGAGTTTACTTAAGAGAACAAACTTTAGATGTGGACACTGTTACAGATTGCAGTTTGACTTATGGGGGATGTAGTCACCGTGTAGTTTCACGAAGAGACGTGATGGATGTGTTCGGCTTTGTAAACTTGCTTTTCTTGGAAAGAATGACAAAATAATGTAATACATATACTGAGAGAAACCCAACAATGTGGCATCTAATCAAAACTCAGCCTTAAGCACTTTAATCTTCACAGAGGACAGAGGATAATGAAGTTCATTTCAGCTGTTCGGCTTTTTGTCATGACAGACTGTTATCTGGTCAAGCAGCAGCCACTGGAGGGGGCACTTTCCATAATATGCTTATGTAACATCCTGGTACTTCATAAGTGTCACCTTGAAAATGGGTTTGGGGACTTTTTTAGTGTAGTCACCTTCTTTGCACACAATCTTTTTGTCCATTAGTGTTCTGTCATACCTTCATTAATTTGCCTTTATTTTTAGTTGTGGCCAGTGTGTTGAAATCGTGAAAACCCTTATTTGTTAGATTTTTACTTTTTTTTTTACTGCTTGTTGGCACTTAATTGAACATAGAAGTAAATTATTTAATCTACAAATGCACAGTACTTGAAAGTAGAGCGCGCAAGCTCTGTCATCAGCATTTATTAAAAATTCAGTGATATTAAACAATAACACAAAGTTTTCTCTTAACAGAGTGAAAAAAGCCATTTAATGTAAAGGACATGTGAACCTGTGAACTTTTCCTCTGCAGCTGATGACAAAATTATATTAATCAATGTGTTTCTGGTTTCTACCACATGTATAATCTTATACTGAGAAAATGTTAGAATGCCAAGATGGTGTCAGATATCTGTTTACTTACCACTTAGTGCCATATTTGCGATTTCTACATACTCCCGATTGTAACCACACTTTTCTTTCACGTGTACTCCTGATTCTTGTAAATGACTGGATTGTGATGAGATGTAGATACATCTGAATAAATGTTGTTCTTTGTATTATTTTGTCTATTTCTGTGTATACTTTGTCTGGATAATATGCTACACTGATACCACACTTATCTCAGACTAAAATGAATGGTAGCGCTGCAGAGGAATTGTACTCCAGTGTGACTGGGTGAATGACAACTCACTACCTCCATCTTGTGTTTAAAACAAAATATATTTTGGACCTTTTTTTCACTGTAACCCTCCAACTGGTCTCCAGCTGTGGGTATCACATATTTTTAGGTTTAATTTGCATACGGTTTTCATATACTGAAACTAAGGGCGCGGTACGCTCAAGCAATAATAATAATAATATTAAAACATATGCTGGGGTCGACAACCCCGGGATTATGACCTCACTGAGGTTAAAATGTTAGCAGAGAAGTGAGCATGTGATGGGTGGGAAAAAAAAATAGGAAAAGCACTGATGTGGCTTGTGTCAAGAAAATGACTCCCCAGTTACTTCATTAGTCACACTTTGCTGGTACCAGGTTGGACCTTCAGCTCCTTTAATTCTTTGGCACAGAATCAGTAAGGTGCTCAGGTCCTCAGAGGTTTTAGTCCATATTAACATGATAGCATCACACAGGTGATGCAGATTTGTCAGCTGTATACATGATGTAAAGTTCCTGTCCCTCCACCTTCCAAAGGTACTCTTTCGAATTGAGCTCTGTTGACTATGAATACCGTTTGAGTACAGTGAACTCATTGTCATGTTCAGCAAACCAGTTTGAGATGACCTGAGCTTTGTGATAATGTGTGTTATCTTGGTGGAAGAGCCATCAGAAGATGGGAACAATGTGGTCATAAAGAGATGGACATGGTCAGCAACAACACTCAGGTAGGCTGTGGGGTTTCAAATATATTTAGCTGATACTAAAAGGCCGAACGTGTGTCAAGAAATTCTGATCCGAATCTTACAGTAGAAATCAAAACTGCTTTTCAACTCATCTGTTGTTCAATTTTGGTGAATCTGTGAATTGTAGCCTCAGTTTTCTGATGTTTGCTGACAGGAGTGGCACCTGGTGTGGTTTTCTGCTGCAGTAGCTGCTTCAAGATTTAAAAGGTTATGTGTTCAGAGATGTTCTTCTGCAGACCTTGGTTGCAACAAGGTGTTATTTGAGCTACTGTTACCTTCCTATCAGCTAAAAGCAGTTGGGTCATTCTCCTCCAACAAGGCATCTTCACGCAGAGAACTGCTGCTCATTTTCTCTGTTTCAGACCATTCTCTGTAAACCCCTAGAGATGGTTGTGTGGAGAAATTTCAGTATATCAACAGTTTCTGAAATACTCAGATCAGCCTGTCTGACACCATCAACCATGCCACGTTCAGAATCACTTAAATCGCTTTTTTGTCCCCATTCTGATGATGTTGAAGCTTAAAAAATGCATCATAAAGTATCAAAGTGTTGCTGTAGCTTCAGCCTCGTTAGAATATTGATCTTTTTCACACAGCTTTGAAGTAGGTGAAGTCGAGCCAGAAATTTAACTTTTGGTTCCCCATTCTGATGCTCAGTTTGAACTTCAGCAGGTCATCTTGACCAATGTCAACGTACCTAACGAGAAGCTGAAAAGGGGTGCCTAATAAGGTAGCTGGTGAGTATGACAACACAGCATGACAGGTTTCAGGCTTTGCTGGAATTAAACAGTTAAATATTCATCTTTTAAATGACCTTAAAGAAAATTTGAGTTCATGGTAGATGAGATCCTTTCAGTGTTTTAGCTCAGTCAGTTCAACATGTAGTTGAAACTATTGATTATGCCCCGTAATCCATTAAGTCAACACATGGAGGTAACAACATACCATTTAAAATTTAATTTAAAGTTTGATTTTGGATAATATCTGAAAAATAAAGTTTAACTATGAGATATGGATTTTAAAAATAAAAGTTTTGGATCCTGTAACACTTGTTGGATGTAACTTAATTTAACTTTCATATAAAGTACACATACACTCCAATGTGGCTTAGCTGCTGTCATTGTTGTTCACTAGCCAGCAATCAGTATATTATGTGTTCTCAGTTGTGCTACTCAGTAATTATTTATGATTACATTTTAGCTATTACAAATGCTAAAATTATGTGTGTATTCAGATATGATGTTAGCCTTCAGATGAATTAGTGAGAGCAATGGTACACGTGTTAATTAGATTAGAACCACACACACATACACTTATTTTCCTATCAACATATCGCAGATAACCAGCATGCAGTATCTGTTTTCTGAGTTATCAGGAACTAACCTTTGGCATACATTGGGTGTTATCTGCCTCAGTGTGAGTTTTGATCCTTTTCAGGTTGTAAAGACTAATCAGTTAATAGTAATTCGTTTTCCTCTCAAACGTGTCCACTCTTCTGTACTTTGATTATGAGTGCCAATCTAATGGCATTGTTTGGAGTTTGTTGGAGTTTGTTTCTTGTTTTTTTAAATCCAGATTTCCAAGACGCACACTGAGAAAGGAAACCTCCACCAAGGCAGCTCAGACTCTGGGCAGTATTTACTTTTACTTGAATGTTGTTTAATATTTTAGCTAAATGTTATGTAGGAGTAGGTGATGGAAAAGAGGTACTGATTTGTAAATAACTGGACATGAATAACTTATATAAAGATTACAGTGTGTTTATTTTGTGAAAGTTTGACCTTATTTAACCTTGAAGAAAGGGTCAGAGCTCCAGAGTAATGTGACATTTAGAATCCCCATATATCGTTCCCATAAGCCTGGAAATTATCCCTATAAACAATGGCAGTAAGGAACGTAGCTTTAAATAACTCTGTATCGTATCATCATTTTGACCTTGAAGTAGAGGTCAGATGTCAAATGACATGGCAATTTAAATCTTTATATGGTATTTTCTGTATATTGACAATACACACCACACTTGTAGCAATAATACTTTTTATGTTATAAGGCTTTTTTGTCAGTTTTCGACCAATAAATCGTTAAACTAATCTTGGTGGATGGAAAAATGCTAAGGCTATAATTCTTCTTCTATGAATAACATAATCGTAACTCCTTTTTGCAGTGTGCGGACACCAGCATCTGCAATTTGTTTGCATGTGAAAGAAGTCACTGAATAATTAACACTCATGTCTATGTCACAAAAATGCAGCAACTGACAGAAACTATAAACTCCAGCTGTAACAACTATAAATGGAATGGCTGTTTGTTATTAATAAAAATATTTTGCATCAATCAGAGTTTGCATGTTCTCATTTTCTCTGCGTGGGTTCCCTCTGGGCATGCTGCTCCCTACCACAGGGTAAAGACATGCTTGTTAGGTTTACTCGTGATTCCCATACATGTGATTATAAATCTCTGTGATAAACTGCTGACCTGTTGAAATTGGATGTATTTAAATCCACCAGTTTGCTGGGGCCTTTCTGAGTGGAGTTTACATGTTCTCCCCATCCTAAAACACACACAGGTTAGGTTAACTGGCAAGTCAAAATTCAGAGGTGTGAATATTAGCATGAAGGGTCTGTCTCTCTGTGCTGTTCCTGCAGTAGACTGGTGACCAGTACAAGGTTTTGCCCTTTCTCTTGCCCTGTAACTGCTGGGATAGCCATCCCCACAACACTGAACTGGATAAGTTGAAGAAAATAGATGGATTCTTATGGCATTTTTTTTCACTTGG